AAACTATTATAATCTAATAAATTTTTTATTTGAATAATTTAACCCTATAACAATGCTAAAAATATAAATATTACATAATCTTATGTCATAAAATTCGCATATATTACAAATTATAAATCTTTCATAATACTTTACATTAAAAATATTTCTGATGTTACAATAAATTATTTCTATTGTATTAGATCATGTTTCTTTATTTAGAGATAAAGCATTTGTTAAAATACTTTAGATATATGAATGCATTAAAACACGTAAAACTTAATAGACTGAACAAATCTAACAAACCTATCAAAACTACAAACCTGTCAATAATGAACTAACTGTTATTATTATTAATTATAACATTATTATTACTTATTTCATAGTTAATATATATAATATTATTAGTATTTATATTAGTCTTGTTAGTATTACTATTATTGTCAATAGTATCCTAAATCTAATTATTGTCAGTGATTTTCTTTAATTATATTTTTCTATATAAAAGACATGAAAATATCTTGAAAAAGTATAGATTTGATATATTAAATATAATTGATAACAAATAATATTAATAAACTCAAATATATTTTATTAACATAAAAACATATAACTTTATTCTTATTAACTAAATAAACTCTCCAATAAATAGTGTATTAAGTTGATTGGATTAAAATTATAGCTATTATCTCCCTGACTTCAAATCATAGTTAACTTATTCGATAGAAAGAGTAATATTAATAAGTAGTAATTTCTACCAGAATATTATTAACTTTATACATAACGAACTGCTAACAGATTTAGCAAAATATATAAAGATTTAAGTTAAAGGATTGAAAAACAAAGTTAATTTTATATATAATGAACCACTAAAAGAAAGTGAAGTGTATGAATTTTGAAGTAATTAAAAGAAATACAATTGAATATATTATTAGGCATTATTCTAATTCCCCCTCAATGAAGGCTATACTTGTAATTAGTATTACTCACTTCCTCTATTTGATACACTTTTAATTGGTTTTCAAAATTTTTAGAATTGGTTTTATTATGAAAATCGAACTAAAACTTATACAGCAAGATCTAGTTATAGCCTTTAATCTATTGAAAAAAACAAATAAAAATTTTTTATTTGAGCAATTAAGCAATATTCTAGTATCAAAATATTATAATAGCTGATTGACAAAAATAATTTATCAGTTACTTTCTATCCTTTGATATAGGACTATAATTTTTTTATTAGATGTTATATATTTGTATATTCAAGGTGTATTTTTTGAAATAAATTGTTTTCAACAACATATCAATTTATCGATTTTATTAAAAGTATATATTGAAATTCAAACTCAGGACTTAATCCAGATTTAAAAAGACCAACAATTACTCTGACAATTAATTACTACTTTAATACCCTCTGCAACTAGCCTATCAACAACTTCAAATACTACTCTACCTTAAAAACAATAATAATAGCTACAGATGAACAAATAAAATAAGCTCTCAAAGGAATCTTTGAAGTAAATAAAGTTCAATTAAATGCATTAAGTCAAATAGAATAAATTACAGTGATGGTTGATTACTTTCATGATACTGAAGTAGAAAATCCAATTGAATGGCTGGCTGCTTTTGAAAAGCAGCAACTATCAATCGATAGGTTGATTTTTTAAGAAAAAAAGCTATAGATAGAAGATACTTAAAAGAAGCTGCAACTGACTGATTTAAAGAAAACACAGTAACGATAGATGATAATTAGGCAATTATTACAAATAATAGTATTTAATTTTGTGGACTTATTTAACATCCAATTTGTTAATGAGACCTGAAGGTACTAGTAGTATCAAGATTATCCATCCTGCGATAATAGACTGATGAATCTGTAGATTTGTATACTAATAAATTCTGAAAATTAGCAGATAGAGTAAGATTGATCGATAATGCACAAAAGAAATAAATGTTTCTTATGATGTTGAATTCTGCTTATACTCTGATAGTACAGATAAAAGTATTGGTCACCCAACATGATATAAGTGAGATGTGTGTTATCATGCTCTTTTCAAATTAAGCTGCAGTTTTTTTTTATTTTAAGTTACATATAATTGTTATATAAATAATCAAAATAAAATAATTGCTATTGTATAACATAAATTTGGTCATATAATCATATGAAAAAAACTTTTTTTATTAGTAAAAAATATTTACCGCAAGGATGTGTTATAGAAAGAAACTTATTAAAGGCAAAAAAGAAGCTATTATTGCAGCTAAAAAATTAGAATACACAAATACTAAGATTTTTATAATCGTAAATTACTCTTGTTTCTCTGTTCAACATATTTTGGAGTTATACAAGCTAAAAAGCCTTCTAAAGAAACATTTGGGTCGACCACAAATTCTTAATGAAACTGAACGCAAATATCTCAAAAGTTTGGTAGTTAGAAATAAAAAAACCTGTCATCTAACCCTTTATCAAATACGTTTAAATTTTATAAATGAAATAAATAAACCTATTTTTATATAAACTATTTAAAATAAATTAGTCAAAGAAAATCTCCATTCCCGTATTTTTCATTTCAGTCCTTTAATTTCTAAAAGTAATAAAGAAAAATATTACTTGTGGGTCTGTACTTACGAAAATTGAATAGTAAAAGATTTTAAACGAGTTGTCTAGTCAAACAAGAGTACTTACACACAATTTGGAACTTCAGGTTTTGGACAAGTATAGTATGAACCTTCTGAAGAGTTTTATAAAGATTGCATTGCAGCCACAGTCTAAAAGAGCTTTAGTCACATATTTTGGGGATATTTCTCCTAGATTGGCTTGGATTCTTTGGTCTTCTTAGAAGGTCATGTTAATGGAATTATACACTGTAATATTTTAGCTAATTATGCCATTCCTACAATCAAGTTTCATGTAAAAAGGTCAAAAAAGATTTTTTTTAATAAGACAACACGCCTGTGTATATCACAAGAGTCACACATTTATTTCTCACTTTCTCAAATATTGAGGTACTTTCATGGCCAGCCTAAAGCACTAATATTAACCCAATATAAAATATATGATTATATATTGAGGTCAAGATCTGTCAATGAGATTTTCAGCCATCAAGTGTTAAGCAATTAGAATAGTAGATTAAAGAGAAGTGGAATGCAGTATATGTAGAATATTACTGTAATTTGATCAAATCAATACTGTATTAAGTTTAAGCTATTCTTATAGCTAATAAAAGACCAACAAAATATTAACCTGTATTTGATAAAAATAAAAAAAAAATAAAGAATTATTAAGTTAGTTATTTCATGAAATATTTTACAAAAGTGGCCATTACTTTTTATACCTCCTGTATATGCATAGAATTTAAATGACTTAGCAGTAACAGTAAATGCTACCAAAATATTAAAATTGGTTATAATTTTGTCACTAAAATGTTCTAAGAAATACAATTATAGCCCCTCAACTTCCAATATTATACCATCAAAATCCATTCCAGTTGTTAATACAAAAATAAACGAACTTATAAAAAAACTGGAACAACTTACCATAAATTATGTTAATCTATCTTCTGTAATGCTAGCCTAGCCACAAACTCTGAAAAGGAGAAACAGATCAAATGTAAACACTTATAGACCTCAAAATACAGGACCTAAAGATTTTATCTGCTATAATTGTGATGCTTCAGGACACATTACGCAAAATTGTATCTAGCTATGATGATATTATCAAGATAATTATAGATCCCATTTTAGTAAAACTAGAAAAATGCATTTAGCAGATCAATATACTGATGAAGAATACGATGATTATGATTATGAAACAGATGAAAATGATGAGTATGAAATTTATTTAAATATCTGATCAAGACTGTATTCTGATAATCTAACATTGAAAAACTGGAGAATCAAGTGCGAGAAATCTCAAAGAAAAGAAATCCTTAGAAGGTTTTTTAAATTAACCATTATGCTGAATTTTGCAAAAGAATTTGTGCAAATGAATAATTCTACTCTAATGAAAACTAAAGTTTTAAGTAATCCTAAGAATGTCAAGAGAAGATTAATGTTAGTTTGATTAAACAATTAACGGAGTTCAATATCACTATTTACCTCTAGAATCTTCTATACAGATTATCAGTTAGACAAGCCGTTCATGCCATTTCAAATTACTATTCCAGTTTAGCCAAAGCTATAAGAAAATATAGAGAAAAGGTTTCTGAGGAATTCAAAGAAGCAAATTTGGCTAAAAGTGACGATAAGCCCACTTTCATAGCCAAATGTACTCTTCAAATTGGAAGAAAATTCAAACTGCTATAATCTATAGCGGTGTAATCACGAGCATAATTATGAAGAACCTATTGGATAGATTGGGTTATGATATTGACAGAGCCTCAAAAATGACCATTATTATGACAAATAGAGCTAGAACTTGCTTCTTAGGGATCGTAGATAATTAAAGCTCTGAACAATTCAGATTAATCTGAAAATTTTCAGTTCAGATCAACTTCAGTTCGATTTCAGATTGCAAAAAATTCAATTTGAAAATTTTCAGTTCAGTTCAGATTTTTCAGATTATAAATCTAATCTGAACTGAAAAAAATCTGAATTGAACTAAAAACTTCAGATTAATCTGAAAGTTCAGATGGTTCATTCCAAATGAATGATAATTTAATCATTCCAATTGAACGATTTTCTTATCATTTGTTTGAAATGATTCTTTATCGTTCGTTTGGAATAATAACTCCAATCGTTCCAAATGAACGATTCTTTTATCATTCATTTAGAATGATAATTTAATCGTTCCAATCGAACAATCCTTTTATCATTTTTTGGAATAATAATTTAATCATTCCAATTGAAAAATTCTTTTATCATTCTTTTAAAATGATAATTTAATCATTCTAATTGAACAATTTTCTTATCGTTCTTTTGGAAAAATAATTTAATCATTCAAATCAAACGATTTTCTTATCGTTCATTTAGAACGATAACTTCGTGATTATTTTCGTCATCATTTCAAGAGGACATATGGTGTATTGATGGAAGATGATGATCCTCTTGAAGAATATCTCAATTCACCTATTGAAAATATTAATATTCTCGCATATTGGAAGATAAAATCAGAAGAACCTCAATGGATTCCACTTATAAATATGGCTCGAGATTATCTGATCGTTCAAACAACAAGTGTACCAAAGGAACAGATTTTTAGTTTGGCAAAGTTTACAGTTAGCTCAACAAGAAATCGCCTAAATCCAGAAAGCTTGCGAATCTCTTGTCTTAAAATCTGGTTCGCAGCAGGATTAATTGAAGAAAATTTTATGGAGGATAATAACAATGATAATTAGCTGAATTATTTTTATATATTCGATATTTAATATTTTTACTGTATATAATATATCTTTTAAAAAAATATATTAATTAATTAAAAAAACTAATAGTTTAAACCAGGTTTTAAATCAGGTTTTAACTAGTTAGCTTAAACCGAATCTCGAGTAGTTCGAGACCTGTTTCTACAAGTTTGGAGCATAAACCGAACCGTTTGAGCAACTTAACGTCACTATTAATGATCAAGTATTAAAAGCAGAAAAGTATTAATAAATTTAAACATTATTCAAAATATCCAAGTGTAAAATTTTGTGAACATTTCCATAAATAATTTCATCTTAACAAACGCTTTATAATAACTTCAAAAGGTAATTTTAGTGATTAGGCCAGCTTAAACAACGAAAAAACCGTTTTTTAGTTATGGAAATACACCTGCATATTAGTTAGTTTTTTTACTTTCAAGTCATAATGTGAACACTTTTATCAAAGAAAACGAGCAAAAAATGCTTAAGTTATTGAAAATTCATATTAATTTTTCATGTGACTAGCTAAATAGTTGCGAAGTTATAAATTTTTTTTTAATGATACTAAAAACATTTCTTTTTAATATCAATTTCATATAATATTATATAAAATATAATTGTATTTTTTCTTAAAGCCCCGAAATAAAGTATTTTCAAGAAACATGTTATACAAATATAAATTCATCTTTAAGTAAAGAGTCTATTTTTTTCGATATTTATTTAAAGATAAAAATAACATTGGTAATTTAAAGATAATTAACGATTTTATGCTTTAGATATAGTTATATAGGAATGTAAGTTATATAATAACAATATTAAATTAATAATGTTTTTTAACTTACGGAAATTATTTTTTTAATTAAATTTAAACGTAATTAATTAAACTTTATTATAAAATAATTAGTAAATTAGATTAAGATATAATAATACAACAACTCTGCAAGAAAATTAAATTCCCTATAATTATCTCACTAGTGTGTGTCTTTAAACTTTATATATAAAAAAAATCCAAAGACCAACGTGCTGGAAAGGACGTTTACCGTTTTATATTGCGTTGGACTTCAAATACTATGGACGTAATAAACTTATCATTTTGTAATTAACGAATGAGATGCTATGTTTATGAAATAATAATTAGGATTTAAAGAATCAGCTATTGATTAATATTAACTAAGATTGAGCTTTTGTATCTGAAAATTTAATAGTATTGTGGCGTATAACTGCAACAATAAGAACTGGGTGCTATTTCCACTATAGATGTATTATATTCGAAGTATTTACGTGAAATTTATAATAGTTTAGGAAGTATTATAAATCTTTGGCTTACCAATTTGATTTTGCAATCGATTGCGACCAACTATAATGAGGTTAGGATATCATAAAATAATTTTTGTAAGTATAAATAATTTATATAATATCAAAAATAAAGAATTATAACTAAAGTATTTAAAGTATAAAAAAAACATTTTTTTGTAGTATATTTAAACATTTCCAGTTTCAGGAACTTTTGATATTCATTCATAGAGCTGTAAAACGAAGGATACTTAGTAGACTATGTATTAATAAGTAAGTAAATTCAAGAGAATACAATAATTCTATCTAGTCTAACAGAATCAAAGATATAAACTTGTCAGAAATTGCAGTAATAGAAATAACCTATATAAGTAATTTTTATTTAATTATTATATTTCATCATAGTAAGTATTCCAGGGAATACTTCCTTGTAAATGTTGTTATAGAGTTCATCTATAGACAAACGAAACGCTATACTTCGATTTGGACGTTCGATTGGAATTTTAATGTATAATGTCTGCTTTTGATGATTTATTAAAATAATCATTTAAGCAAATATTATCACACCTTGTTTCAAATTTATAGATGAATATTTAGAACAAAACCAAGAAATTAAGGAACCTAAAGCTCTACTTGTATAAATTGTTTTTGTGTGCATTATAGCAAATTTGGACCCAAGTTTCTCTAGTTTATTTTATGCAAAATCGAACGATCAGTACGTTAATGATTGAAGTTGTAAATGTCTTTTCTTATAACATTCCTGACAGTAACGATAAGGCAAGAATGGAAAGATAAATTTTAAAAATATTATAACGCAAAAAAGGAATAGAAAAAGTAATTTAAAAGAATTATCAATCTCAAACATGTACTACATTTTTTATATACAGTATAAATGTATTCATAATGTTCAAAACTGACTCATTATCTTTTTCGATCATCTTTTTCGTTAAGGTAGTCACAAAACAAACTTTGTATATGGTTATTTTTTAATTTTTTGTTTATTCTAATTGTGATGTTATAGTTATGACAATTGTATATTTTTTTGCAATGAAGAGAATCTCATCCGTTTTTGATGACTAAATACATTATCATCATAATCATAAGAACTTGATTAGATATATCATCGAATACTCTAACTAAGATTTATCTTGATACATAATCCTAAATAAATTTATAAAAATATACATCACCATCAGCTTCATATATTTGTTTTCATTGCCTTTTAAATATTTTTTTTTAATTGTAATAAATTGATTAAGAGATTGTTCAATTCTGCTAGTTAGTGTAAATTACCAGATAATCTCTGAAGAATTTTTAGTCTAGTTTTGCTTTAAGCCTAAATCCTTCTAAACTAATTTCGCCTCGACCAAAATTCTCTTATTAAGATAAATCACATTTAGAGGCCTTGTCATATCGTTTATAATTATCAAAAAGCGTAGTATAGTACTAGTTAACAATTTTATATAATTAGCCCTGTAAGTTGACCTTGAGTCGACAGAGTTATGCTCAGAGATTGAGATAAGTCTTGGGACTAGACTTATAAACTGACTACACAAGTGAATCGAAATAATAAATTGTTTTGTGAGATAATCGTTAATTTCTCTTAGGAAAGGCCTTTGAGATAATTGTGATATTAAGTTTATTAATTTTGTTAGCTTGGTTTTTAGACGATTCCAGGTTTAACAACGATTATCGATTTTCGATTAATTCGATTCTAATCCATAGTTCCGGATAAGATCGACAGTTCCGAGATCGACATTTACAATTAAACTTTTATAAAAAAAACCAAATGGAGAATTTCGATATGAAAATCGTAAAATTAAATTTGTAAATTTGTTTCAAATGTTGAATGAAACAAAATTAAATAAAAGAAACCAAATGGAGAATTTCGACAAGAAAATTGTAAATTTAAAGGATTTTGACAACATTTTCTTAATTGTTGAATGAAAAAAAAAGAGATTTCTTAATGTTGAATGAAAGAATTGGATACCGAAATGGTTTAATCTCCCTGGTATCTTGTAATTTTTTCCGAGGGTTATAAAAATTATATATAAGGTCTTCGAGTTTTCGACAGGGAAAAAAAATTATTTCAAAATTATTTTACTATGAAGAAAGGTTTATTATACATTCTTATAAATTTTTCAACGGTTGTTATTGCTGATTGGATCACCGTAGAACATGATTTTAAGATGTGTGACCAGGTCGTACCTTCTAACCTTGCGGCGTTTCATATAGACGATGATGGCATTAGCTATTCGACGTCTCTTTTGGTCCAGGAACTTCAAAATATAAGTCATGAGCCACCATTAACAACTGTAAACATCACTATGTGGGGATGTACCTATGATTGCA